TTTTTTTTTTTCCTTCCCCTCCCCCATGGGTTCCTGTTAAGTTTCTCAGGATCCACATAAGAGTGAACCCATATGGTATCTGTCTTTCTCTGTATGGCTTATTCCACTTAGCATCACACTCTCCAGTTCCAACCACGTTGCTACAAAAGGCCATATTTCATTTTTTCTCATTGCCACGTAGTATTCCATTGTGTATATAAACCACAATTTCTTTATCCATTCATCAGTTGATGGACATTTAGGCTCTTTCCATAATTTGGCTATTGTTGAGAGTGCTGCTATGAACATTGGGGTACAAGTGCCCCTATGCATCAGCACTCCTGTATCCCTTGGGTAATTTCCTAGCAGTGCTGTTGCTGGGTCATAGGGTAGGTCTATTTTCAATTTTCTGAGGAACCTCCACACTGCTTTCCAGAGCGGCTGCACCAATTTGCATTCCCACCAACAGTGCAAGAGGGTTCCCGTTTCTCCACATGCTCTCCAGCATCTATAGTCTCCTGATTTGTTCATTTTGGCCACTCTGACTGGCGTGAGGTGATACCTGAGTGTGGTTTTGATTTGTATTTCCCTGATAAGGAGCGACGCTCCATCAGCATAAATTTCTAATTATATTTATTGTCACTTATAATTGCAATACTGGGAAATATTCTTTGTCAAATATTTAAACAATACATAGAATACAAAGATCCCCCTTCACTAACTCACACTCCACAAATCATTTTACCTGTAGAAATCACCACCCTGTGAGTTTGAGGATAATCCATACAGACTATTTTTACATGTATGTTCAGATATAGATATATACATATTTTCAAAAAATTCAGAGCAAAAGGTTTGCTTTGAATATTGTTATATTGGACATTACCTGAGTGAGAAAAAAGCCAGAGCAAGATTTAAAATAAGGTCTAACTGGACAACAACAAAAAAAGTCATCTTTTTTAATACTCTTCTTCTATACAGTGGGAAGAAAGAAATAAATATGTCAGTTCAAATCACTTTACTTCTTTTGTAAAACCCACACAAACAAACCCCAAAAACATGTACTATGGAAAGAGAAAAATCAAATACTCAAAAGATCAACTGATACAACATGAATCCATTAAGGAGTATGTTAAACTCGTACAATATTTCAAGTTACTCTTATCGCATAATCCAAATGAATTTTATTTCCTGATTTTAAAAAAGCATCTTTTTTTTCCTTTTTCCTTTTTCCTTTCCTTTTTCCTTTTCCTTTGCTCAGACTAGTCAATTTTCCTTTTGTCAACACATAATTCTATCCTAGAGAATTAAATAGTAAATGTATTTTTGTGTATGTGCATGTCTGCCCATCTCATGACAATCACAGTCAGTGGTGGCCACGTTTGTACAACTTGGTCCTAGCCCTTCAGCCTCAGACTTCAGCTGATTGGACCAGGGAACAGACACCTGACTCAAGCTGGGCCAATCAGAGCCTCAGTCCAGAGAATCTGGAATTGGGTCGGAGAGGATGAGAAAGTGGTTGCTGTAGGGGCTGCGGTGTGTGGACAAAAAGTAAAGCAATCTGCAGAGAGAATGAAGGAGACAAGCAGCTGGACGGGGTCAAGAGAAATCATGCAATCTGAAAGGGAAAGCTCGAGAGAGTTGCTGTCTGGGTTCCTAACGTCTTTCTAGTCACTTGCAGTCACTTCGGCTGGTTCGGGTGAATTCTTGTTCTTGAGTTCCATGAAACACCTCTGTATTCTTTTAATAAATCCACTTCTTTCTTATTGAAACTAACTGGAGTCAGATTCTGCTCCTTGCAACTAAAAGCATCTTTGTAAGATACCACAGGTATCTATACCTAAATCAGAACAAAAGGTTTCCAAAGGATGGACTCCCCACATGATATCATTAATATAGAGAAGTCATCTACTCATAATCACTGATCAACAAATACAACAGCCAAGAGAAAGATTGGGGGGTTGGGGAATGAACAAACATCCCAGTAGGTGAAGGGACAAGTTGCCACATAAGACAAGCTGGAAAGGGCAATGCAGATGAATCAGAGGAGAAAAAAATGCTACAGTTTTATGCCCACACTGGCACATCCATGTTCAGTATTCACCGAGCCCTTTCCTCTGTGGGAGGATGCCTCCTCGGGGAGGCCAGAGTACTGCTTTGATCACCTCTAAGCAATAGAGAGGCCTGCCCTTGTCACTTGCTTAAATCAGAGGTTGAAAAGTTGTGGATGTATTTTTTTTTTTTTGTCAGAACAATGCTTATGAATAAATTTTAGTTGATGACATTAGAAATCAGAAGATGCCACTTAAGAAAAATGTAGATGGTATGATCTGGAAACACTGGGCTGGATGTCCTCCATGGCAACATTTGGCCAGGGTAGGGCAGAGCAGCTCCCTCTTTAGATGGGGTTTGTGGTCTCTGCTTCCTCAAAATTTATTATCCGCCAGGTTCCTAGGAGTCCTGTCATGAGAATAAGCAAACCCCTATTTAAGTTCACATGGTACCAGGGAAGAGACAAAACAATGTCAACCAGGGCCTGCTGTGCACCAGGCCAACTGCCTGACACTTGACCTTCATTAACATATAGTATTTCAACTACTATGCAAGCCTATGAAAGGGGCATCCTCATTTTGTTTTGTACTGTTTTGTTTTGGGGGACATCCTCAATTTAAGCACCAGGAAACCACGGCCAGAGACATGATGTAAGTTGCATAAGCATTCTAAGCCAGACTTGGGCTCAAAATCATATGTTATCTCTTACTAGCTGTGTTACCTTGGAGAAGATACTTAACCTTTCTGCGCCTCATAAGCAATGTCCTGGTAGCTTTCAATCTGATACCCCTGAGAATGAAATAAACCACTTCGACAAAGACAATTATTATACTCCTTATTTGCCTAAAATTTAACAAATAGCTAATAAACCTTCCTATAATTCATTTATTCTCCCATCAAAAAATTTTTATTTTTTAATTTAGAGAGAGATGGAGAGCATGAGTGGGGGTGGGGGGCAGGGGGAGACAGAGAGAGGGAGAGAGAGAGTCCCAAGCAGGCTTTGTGCTGTCAGAGAGGAGCCCAGTGAGGGGCTCGATCCCATGAACCCTGAACCCTGAGATCATGATTTAAGCTGAAATCAAGAGCCAGATGCTTAACTGACTGAGCCACCCAGGTGCCCCTAAACATTTTTCTTTTTTCTTTTAAGTTTATTTATCTATTTGAGAGAGAGAGAGAGAGAGAGAGAGAGAGAGAGAGAGAGAGAGAGGAGAAATCCTAAGCAGTTTCCACACTATTAGCACAGAGCCTGATGCCGGGCTCAAACTCATGAACTGTGAGATCATGACCTGAGCTGAAACCAAGAGTCGGACACTTAACTGATGGAGCCACCCAGGCGCCCCCAGAATCACTTTTGAACTCCATAGACACCATCCGAACATTTTCAGGCTTGACCCCACCCCAGTGGCACCCTTCCTCACGTGGAATAAAAACATTAAAAAATCATCTCTTCAGAAAGTTTCACTTACCACCCACACAGACTTGATACCCTTCCTGCCACTTCCTCTTCCATTCAACCCCAGGAAGATGAAGATTAAAAATCGTACATATTGGATTAAAACTCCCACCTCAGTCTGTGGCTGCCCTGTGTTTGCTCCCCAGTTGGTGGAGCGGGTCCTCTGATGCTAAGCGCTGGGTGCTGGTGGAAGGACCTTGTCCATCTGGTCACCGGTCAAATGAGGAAGAGCAGAGGGAAGTGAGAATTGGGCACAGGCCAGACCTCTGGCTTCGGGGTGTGCCCTGAGGCCCTGACCTGTAGCCCATAGTGGGGTTCAAGTCTGTGTGAAAATGCCCCACCCCCAGCCCCCAATACCACAACCTGATTTAGGAGAGAAGAGAGGAGAGGAGGAAGACTTGGTAAGAAATCCAAAGGCGAGTCCAGATAGGGCAGTGTGGGACCATTCATAACAACCAGGGTCAACTCATAAAGTAAGGGGAAATCACAACTACAGAAAAAGACCAGAACCTCAGCCCTGCTTGGGTTTTGCACTAGTGGTTCTTTGGAACAAGGAAATACGAAAGCTTGGTAAGGGAAGCGGCAAGCTGCTTTCTTTTTTCTTTCTTCTTCTCTCTTGTTCTTTTGACCTTTTCTGAAAGCCTAGCATGAGAGGGTCTACTCCATAAAAAATGACTCCTCAGGATTTTTTGCGGGGTGACCCATCCGAAGTCTA